CTTTAATTTTAACTTATTTATTAATTTATTTATTAATTTTTATTTTTATTTTTATATTTATTAATTTTAAAAATATTTTGTGACAAAAAAAAGAGCTTGAATTTTTACATAAGAAATTTGATATCATTGCAAAATATCATCATACCAATTTTTTAAAACACTGGAAAGTAAACTTATATGGCTCTATTTCTCTTTTTTAAAGTCTGTAAAAATTTTTCTATAACTTTTTTACCTTGAGCCTTTCGTAAGATCAAGAAAATCACAAGCATTCTCGAATTCATAAACGATAGTGTATGTATAAGTTATTTGAGTGATTCAAATATGAAAGAGTAAATATAAATTTTTTTGTATAAACACAAATTAATATTGGTAGATGTAATTACATTGAATGACAGGAGATAGAAAGTGTCTAATTAACTTTATATAGTTCTGAATTTGCGGCAGTTATTTCTGTAATTATTATTGTAATGATTCGAACAAATAATGCTGTGTGCAACGCATCGTTCATATGTTGATCAGGTTTCATGTATTGATCAAGTTTTTTATACGAACGAAAATGTTAAAATCATCAAAATTTTCTATATCTATTTAAATAACAAATAAAAGAGATTTAATTATAACGATAAAACTTATATATTTCATTAATCATATTCATAATCATGTTCCTCTTTTCGCCATAATATGTTTTGATATATGACGCAATTTCGAAATTAAAAATAAATATTTTATTAGAAGAATCCTCCTTGTTGTAAGTATACTCCTTTCCATTTATTGCGTTAGATTCATGATAGAACCTAATTTAACGATATCGCAATGATAAATTACTTCTTTATTTTGACAGTAATATTTCGAGAACGCGGGTCGCTACTATTTCTTCTCTATCGTGTCGATATTATTCCAACGCCCTACTGAGCTTCCAATTAAAAAAGTTTTCGCTTTAATCGGATAAAATATTTTTACAAGCTTTCAGCTTTTCCGCAAAACAAAAACTTTTAATTTTTTCTCAGTTCCATAATATTTACGTATTTTCTCATTATTCACGTCATAGTTGTTTTATAACAATGGGTTGCTGCAATGTTATTGATTGGCTCATTAAAAAAGATAATATATTTAGAAATAATCTATTTATAAGTAAATGATCTCATGTCTGCAGAAGTGATATTCAGCTTTTCGCCAAACAAAAACTTCTTTTTTTCTCGCTTCTATGATATATAATATTTTCTCATTATCATAGTAATGGGATTGAATTTTCCTGCATCACAGCTGTTTTTATAACGATCTTAGCAAACACTTACAAGTAACATATTTGTTATAATTTCTCTTAAATAATATAATTATAACACGTGTCATATTACAGTTATATTTTTAAGTGATAATTACACTAAAGGACATTACTTACATGTAATTTTGTGTTTGTCAGGATGGAATGCGATGTTATTGATAAGCTTATTAGAAGAGATATTTATAAATAATTTGTTTTCATATAAAATGATCTTATGTCTCTAGATCTGATATTTGTTTATCTAGATTAATAAAGATAATATTTTTTTACTAGTTATTATTTAAAAAATAGGTCTGTATAATGCACTATAAGTCAAATAGATGTAAGCACAAATAAATCTTGGCCAAACGTTTGTTTCAATAATTTTCTTGAATATAAAAGTCAATAAATTTATCGAATTTGCATGTTCAAATCCTCTTTAATTCGAGATATTCGGAAAATTTTTACCAAAATACTTTATATTTTATTTTATTAAAAATATTAACAAATTTATTAGTTTGTTTGCAATTTTTTGTCTGCTTACATCCATTGATCTAAATTTATAAAAAAAAATTGATGTAGTATCTAATATATGTAGATAGATTAAATCTGAACTATTTTCATTGGCCTTAAAATTAAGCTATTAAATTGTTTGTTATTTTCATCCGATTAGATTTATGTATATAATTATGAGAAAATTGCAGAGATGTGTTTTAGTCGAGGTAATCAAAGATATCATAGGAATAATACCGATGAATATTTTTCACTGCCAAGTTTCCCCAAGCATTATTCGCGATTATCGATCATATGAATCGTCCCGAGCATCCATCGGTGTAACGTCCTTCCGACCCGTGTCCTTCCTTTTCTGCTTGTCGTCGGGATGCCCATCGATAGAAATCGCGATCCTGGCCGTGTTCCAGGATAGCCGTGGAATTTGTCAATTCGTCCCACTCGATCACCGCCCCCCGCCTACCGACTTACAGTTTCTTCACTTCTCTCCGCCCTTCCTTTTCGTTGTCTTGAGTATCACTGTCCCTTTGCCTACTTACTTGCTTCTTCGATTCTTTACCAAGTTTCAAGTCCTTTTCTCTTTCCTCTCTCCACAAATATCCCTTCAACTTCTTCACTATTTCTCCTTTTTCATCTTTTTATTTCCATCCTCTTTTTCTTTTTTAGTTTTTCCGTTTTCGTCTTTTCTTTTCATATCGATCTGTCGATCTCATTTCGCACATTTTCTAAGGATTTTTTTTGTTTACTGATCGACACATCGCAGATCTTCCTTTCGGTTGGCGTGCAAAAAATCACAAAGATCCTAAGATTTCCTTTATCTATCTTAATCCCGGCATTCGTTCCAGGAGCTCACCGAGAGAGAACGCATTTTTCAATGAAATACCACAGGTACGCCAATGAAACGTCAGACTGTGCCGATGGCAGACGTCAGCCTTGTTGAGAATGTTCTTCGGGGATTTAATGATTACCAAGAAACTTCTTGATCATGCGTCTCTCTCTTTTTCTTCCTACCTTATTTCACCAACAATTTTTTAATCTTTGAATATAGGGAAAAAGGTTTCGATGAACTATATTTTAATAAAACTAGCTTTTAATAAAAACCACCAAATTTAATTTTTTTAAGATAATATCAGGATAACGTATTTAAAAAAATGCTTCTTAGATATTTAATATTTCGATACTTCTACGTTAAGTACAATACATAAAAAAAATTAAGATGTAAAAATTAAGAGTAAATTATTTGGTGGATTACATCATGAAAAGTATAAAATTACTTTAAAATCTTCAAAATAAAACAAAGAAAGAAAAAAATAAAAAATGAATTTTTTAAATAAAAAAGAACAGTTATGTTTCTAAATACTTATTCATCTAAATTGGCAGAGATGAATGTTTTTGATTATTTATTATCAATATAAAAAAATGACATTGTCTCGTTAGAGAAATAAAAATCTAAAAGTAAAAAATTTAATAATTATTTTAATAATATATTTTTTCAATGAGTAAATGAAAATGTATTTAATAATATTTGTTTCAAGTTATCTCGATATATTACAGTACTACTTTCATTATAAGGACAAAATAAATAACTCCATATGATCAAAATATAGGTAGGTTTATGACAATTCGCACACATGACAAAACGCTACAATCGCTGGTTTATTCGCCGTTGTTGAGCTCTGTTCCTCATTGCTACTTCGATTCATGCCCGTTGGATACATTTCCTGTATGTGGCAGGGTGTCCACCAACCTCCGGCGGCGAAGGGGCAGAACTTCCTATTGGCCACTTCCTATCCTGCTAGTTCAGCGTTAGGAATTCCAATTCCCGGTGCTTGTCCCTCGGCTGACCACAAGCCAGGACCTTAAATTTAATCTTTCGATTTGAAATCAAAAGTCCTGTTTGTGAGAAACTAAGCACGTTGTCCAATACAGAGTAGTCAAAGATATTCGAGACATTTTTTATTTTTATGTGTTTTTAAATAAATTTTATTAACGAATAACAGTGCCAAAACGCTTCTTACAACTAAAATATTAATTTAGATATATGTGCTCTGTTTATTGTATAAAACACTTTATACAATAGATGATCATATTATTTATTAA